AAGTGGACTCCTTGATGTTGAAGATACTTGCATGGAGAGGATAAACATTGGCCCAAACAAGGATTGAACTTAAACATCAGCAGTGTGTTGCATTCTAGCCAACATCCCCTTGGTCCTCACTTTTGAGCTCCACACAGAACAGAGTTATGTTTGGGGGAGTGAGGGACGATTGTTATGCAGTAGGGCCCATAATTACTACCAGTGTCACAGTGGTGGTCACAGGGCCCTGCACACATGTGTGCCTTGTATCGTTCAATATGACTGTTTTTGTGAAGTTTTCTGTATTTATTTATGTAAATTCCAAAAATGACTGCACAGTGTAAATTGTGCCTGTCACAGTTTCAATGAACATTTGCTTAATGTCCAACTACTTACTTCTTCACATGACTGTATGCAGTGACTTTGCAAGCCTAAATCAAATGATCTTGTGCCTACCTGTATTCTTGCCTCTGGAAGGTCTATTTTGTTAGCAAGGCGTTCCCGGGCAAACACATCTGGATAGTGAGTCCTTTCAAACTCTAGAACAAATGAATTTGAAAACTCGTCATGTAAAGATATGGCATCAATACATGATAGTAGTAGTTGTGCTGTTATCCATGAGGACAGTACATGTGCTGTGAAGGACGGAGTCATCAGACTGAGGAAGCAACACATACATATTAGACCACTTGACATATGTTTCCTTAAAAAACTTCTTGTGCTTTGTGAACCTGTAAGGTGATTTTCTACAATGTTTACACAGTTTTAAGTGTGCGTGCTGTGCTTCTACTGCCCACTGATTTAATGTTTTTTGATCCTATAATAAATTTTCACTTTGAAACAATCCTCTTGCATAAATCACTATGAAGTAATGTTTGATTTACCACATTTGTCCCAAACTGTTCTTTTTTTCTGTTAGAGAAAACACTTTTCCTTCTCCTGAATTGAGGAGAAGGAAAACTGCTTCCTCTTGAAAATGAAGGTGCAGGATGTCCAGCATACCACATTAAAGCGTAGTTAGGAGTAACTGCTGATAGCAGCCTAAGCTTTATAATGCAGTGTTTAAAAAAAGAAAAAAACAATTAGTGGAATCTGTTGTCCACCTCAAGCCTGCAGTAATATGTTGAACAATGATGTCGACAACATTTGGTCAAAACTGCTGTAAGTTAAAGCAGCTGGCCTGTGGAATTCTTCACCGAGTGTCAGAGAGTACAGCATTTTTTATATATATAGATATTTTAAATGTAGTTTGAAATGTCTGGTTGGAAATGTCTTTTACTGGGAATGTGTCCATTTCTTTTAGGGCCTGAGCAACAGATGGAGATGAGCTGAGTGCAGTCAATGTGTCTCAAGCAAAAGTAGGAAGACGACACCTGAGGGGTGTACTATGAAGCAAGTTTGACATAGCCAGGCATTCTTTGTGTAAGCCGAATCGACAAAACTGAGCAGCCCCAGCCAGAGATTACGGGTATCACGAAGGTGGTTGTCAACTTTCTTTGTCAACTCAGGCTTTCTGCTTCAGACTCCGTTCACATAAAAAGGGGCGTTTAACGCGTCACGTGACTCTTCTTCTGCACAAAATGAAATGATCGTGTTCAGCTGCTTCAGTCAACACGTCGTTTCATTGGAGAACAATGAGGAATATACATATATTTTTAAAAATGTGACCGTATAAAGCGCTGCTACTGCAAGTGGTGCAAGACAGGAATGCTGGTAGAAAACTGTTAAACGTGTTCATATATAATATTTGACGGATTTATTTCCAACTGACAGCTGCACGTTAAAGTTAAACTTTAAACTTCATACATTTAAACATGATCTTGTACTGAAGTACATTTAGGTCTGACATTGTCCCATCATGCAGGATATCACTTTGGCCCAATCAAAGCAAAATTAATGTTATTGATTGAATATTCTCTGTAATAAATACCAGTAGAATAATCCATTTTCTCAGCTCCAGTACCAGCAGTGTAAACGGACTTGACAGAAAATCAGAGCCGAACATAAAAACATATTCATGACATTTCTGCATCACCAGTCGTTGTAGTGGCAGATGACATATATTTATCCGCAACCAGTCGATCTGGTTAAAGGGAGATGCTGTTTCTAGCTGATTTAAATCCGAAACTCTGAACATAACCTGCTCCCGACCAGGTTAGCTCCACAGCATCAGTTACCATGGAGATCTAGCTGGTAAAAAGAGAGCTACCTTCCTGGTACTGAAAATGCTGGCTTTAAGCTCAACATACCTCGCTAACCCACTAATCTCGCTTTGTAGTACAACCCTCTGGTTCAGTCACTGGTGAATCAGTACTGCTTGTTATAACTACACCAAAAAGACAAGGAAAAATAATAATAATGGATGAAAGAACATGTCCAAGTCATTTCCAGTGATTGACTGGAGGACAGTTGATTCCATCATTAAGAAATGAAAGGAATATGGCACAAATGTAAATCTGCTTAGAGCAGACATCCTCTAAAACTGAGTGGCCATGCAGCAGAGATCATTAAGGGAGCCACCAAGACACCTATGACTTCTCTGAAGGTGCTACAGGCTTCAGTGGCTGAGATGGGAGAGACTGTTCATTAAAGAACTGTTGCCCAGGTTCCTCACCAGTCAGAGCTTTATGGAAGAGAAAGCATGAGGGACACACTAGAGTCAAATGGAATAAGGTGCTTTGGTCTGATGAGACCAAAACGGAGCAGCTTGGCCTTTAGACAAGACACAAGAAGCACAGTGAGTACATTTCCCCATTTAAACAGACTAATTATGGCACTGATACTAACTGTGATACTAACTGACGACACTCGTCTGTTTGAAATATCACCACAATACACTTATTTATCACCTCTTCTAAGGGGTAGGAAAGATATGAAAATATGGTAAAATCAGACAGTTTTTCTGTTGTCTCATTTTTTTATTCTATGAGAAACCTAAGGCATGCAGGACAAAGAGCTTTGATTTTCAATACTGTTCACAAGGAATGGAGAATTGTTTCGATAAAGTCTAACATGATGGTCCACACCTGTATGTCAGTGTATGATGTTGCAGTGTGCACCTATAGCTGTATGACCAGTTACCTTTTTCCAGTGCTTCTATTTGATCTTGCGTGAACGATGTTCTGTTTCTCTGCAATTTCCTCTTCAGCTGAAGTCTCATCTGAGTCTCTTCCGAATCCTCACCATTGGAGCTAACTGATATAGTGTTCTCCCCTCCATCTGCCTGTGGACATTCTACACCGAGGAAGGGAGGAAGAAGAAAAGGAAATGGAAAAAAGGAAGGAACACCAGTCATGGCTATGCTCAGGTATGCAGTCAGCATGAATCAGAGAATCTTATAATGATGAAGAAAACAATCGAAACCAAACATCATTTCCCAACAACAGAAAATCATGGATCCAAAATTGAAGGACGTAAAAATGCAATCAAATAAAATCAGACAATGTAATCAACAGTACTTTTTTTTTTTTTTTTTTTTAATTGTCTGTTTAATTTTACATATAAAATGTAAAACTATAGAATAACAGGTAACTTTAGCCAGATATACAGTGTTTACCAGATGTATCAGCCTCCACCCAGGTTCAGGTTTATACCACAGCTGTCCTAAATTAACAGCATTGGTAATTACCCAAATCATGTTTTATGTTTCTGTAATGGTTAATACACCAGTATGTAGAAGCTCTTTAACCAAAATGATATTTTTAATGTTAAAATATAATTGTCATTGTTGTCCCTGAATTGTGTAATTCACTGTTTTACAAAAAAACTGAAAAAATATTAAAGCACATTATTATTTCTTGATTAAGATGTTAGATTATATTTATTTACTTTCATTCCTGAACAGAAACATTAGTTTTAGTGGTTGTATGTTATGCTTGATTCATTTCTGACTTCTCAGAGAAGCCCAGTGGCTCAGATTTGTGTATATAGAGTTGAATTCAGTTTGAAATTCTTCATTCCTGTTCAAAATGGTAAAACGTGGAGAGCTGAGTGGCATTAAAACACTTCATGATGCTGGATGGTCTCCGAGACAAACAGGGAAAGACAAAGTGTTCTCACAGTGTGGTCAGGTATGATTTGGAGTCAGTTGCTGAGACGGGTTTTCACAAAATGCTCCAAAGAAGTGACAGAAAACGAAAGTTAAGTGAAGCAGATGTCAGACACCTCAAGATTTTAAGGACTAGAGGCAGAAGGAAGACCACTGCTGCTCTTCAGGCAGAGATGAATGCTTCTAGATCAGAGTCTGACAAAGTGTCCAGAATGACCATAAGAGACGACTGATGGAACAAGGCTTAAAGAGAAGAAGAGCTGCTAAGAAGCTATTATTGAGGCCTGCAAACATCCAGAAACACCTCAGATTTGCCAGCGAGTACAAACACTGGACTGTCGATGACTGGAAGACGGTCCTCTGGACAGATGAGTCCAAGTTTGAACTCTTTGGTCAGCATCGTCGTGTTCATGTCCACAGAAAAGTTGGAGAATGTTTTCATGTCAGATGCATTGCACCCACAGTGAAACACAGTGGAGATTCCATCATGGTATGGGGTTCCATTTGAGAAAACAGCATGGGCAAATTAGTGAAAATCAATGTCATCATGAACAAGAACATCTACCACAACATCTTAGTGCATCATGGAATCCATTCTGGACTGAATCTGATTGGTCGTGTGTTCATATACAACAAGATAATGACTCCAAACATACTTCAAAGCTGTGCAGAGACTATCTGACCAAGAAAAAGGAATCTGGAGTTCTGGAAGTGATGGACTGGCCAAGTCAAAGTCTGGATTTGAATCATATTGAGCAAACTTGGGATGCAGTACATTCAAAGATTGATCGCACAAAAGTTTCATCTAAAGCAAGTCTGTGGGAGCAGCTAGAAACTATCTGGAACTCAGTAACAACAGAGACTGTTGAAAAGTTCATAAAAACAATGGCAGCAAGAATGCAGCTGTTATCAAGACCAAAGGAGACCATACAAGATATTAAGCTTTTTGTTATTATGTGTGAGAAAGGACTATTTAGTTGTTTCAGTTTGTTTTAGTTTTCAACAAGTTTTTGAAAGATTTCTATTATATTTATGGTTTCTTGTTTTGATGGCAGGTGGTCTAATACATTTGTTAAGCACTGCATGTAATGGATTAAAATGTGCAATATGAGCTTGGATAAAAATTATTTTTAAAAAATTGAAATATTTAGAAAAACAGTTGTGCTTCAAACCCTGCTCAAGTAGTTCAATAAGCAATTTTTTTTAATGGTCATGTATTATTGTTATTTATACTAAATATATACATATAAAATCATTTATCTAATCGACTATTGTTAGTGTGGCTAATTTAGCGTCTTTGCTCATTATTGTTGTGGTATTTTCTTCACTCCAGTTTTAGATGATAATTACTCCTGTATGCTTGCAGTTGAAACTGTTCAAGTGTGTCACCTCCTCCTGTACAGACTGTATCAAAGAGGCTTAAATATGCATCCAAATATATCAAAAATATATCAAAAATATATCAAAAATACGAGTACATTCTGTACTCACTAATTCACGTTACTAAGCTGCATTCTAACAGGTGTATTATTAGTCAGTGCAATAGCTAATTTAATATCTAATACTCAAATCCATGAATTATTTAATACATGATTAACAAAGCGCTTCAGAGTGGAGATCTTCTACATGTGAGCTCTGAGCAGACAGGAACTTGACTCCAGCTCCCTGTGGAACTCATGTTATTTGTGGTGCTAGCCTAATTATTCATTATCCCCAGCAGACGTAGACTGCAAAACAGAATGAAGCCATTGCTCAGTGTCATAGTCAGTCAGGCAGAAAGAGACACAAATTAGAGCAGGCGCCCACTCTCCCTCCCCAAGACACACTCTCACACACACACATGAACAGGAACAAGCGTGCTGTTGACCGGAGAGGCAGCAGCAGTTGTAGTATAGCATGACTTTGTTTCACTGTTGTATTCCCAGAGGCCTGGAGGAGGAGGAGCAGCATATGAGCCTACTGCACAGAGCAAATGGGGCCCTCAGCCATGCACACTCACGTATTGAAGGAAAAGGAAGGGGTAGCTTTTGCAACCAGACAATTTGCTTTAGCTGCGACATTTAACATCTATTATATGTCATATCTATAGACACACTAGTATTACTGCATCTCAGAAAAGTCTAACATCTAATTATGGATGTATAGAGAGAGAGAGAGAGAGAGAGAGAGAGAGAGAGAGAGAGAGAGAGAGTGTGTGTGTGTGTGTGTGTAGATAGATGGTTTGTGTTCTACAAACACAAACCAACAGCAGGTGCTGCTTAATATTGGTAGATCCCAAAGGCCTGGCAGAGAGACAGTCAACCATTCACACTCACATGTTCTGCCAATTTACAATCACCAGTTTACCGAACATGCATGTCTTTGGCCTGTGAGTGGAAGCCAGAGTTTCCAGAGGGGAAATCCTTGCATGCACAGGAGGAACATGTAAACCAACTGAACAGTGCTAACCGCTGCACCACCATGCTGATGTAATCAAACGTTAGTGAAGTTATTACTTGAATTTGTGGAATGTGATTGTGATGTGATGCTGGATATGCTTTGGTGGACACACAGCTGAAGGCTTAAAGTTACACCATCAAAGAGTTCGTGGCCAAGACATATTTGCATGGCCCGTCTTAGTTCGAAGCACACGCCACCTCTCTGCTTTATTTTTGGATTGGTTGGGAGTTAGGAGGAGTCAGACACAGGCAATAGCCAGAGCCAGTACACTGAGCTTCAAAAGTGTTCTGCAGGAAACCTATGGATGATGTCATGGAGGATTAGTCCATCTTCACATGTAGTCAGTGGCTGCATCCAGGATGCTTAGCTGATACGAGCTAAATGAGACGCAAATGGATGTTGCAAATTAACTTTATTTATTTCACCATCATAATCTTAAAAAAAAAGCATTCACAAACACTACGTCAACTGAAGGCCCAATTACTTTTTAGAGCTCTCAGCTGCAACAGTTAATGGAGTCGACTCAGTTGTCATTTTATGGCCAAAGTGTCAAACTTCAAGTCGTGAGTAGAATGATGTTTGATGGTTTGACTAGTGAGCTTACATCTGACTCTCAGCTCTATCTGCTGATAAAGATTTGCCAAGAGTTACAGTAGAAAGCTCCAGAAAAGACTAGTACCTACCATAAGTAAAGTTTTTTGTCAAATCAAAATATAACATTCCAGAAAGAAGAATAAAAAATAACAACAGCCAATTAAGACCTATACTGCTCCTATAAAAGGATGTGCTTGGTCATTACTCTGCCTGATTCAACCTGCTGATTTTGTATTCTTCCTACAAATAATATAGTCACCCTCACCGTGGTCAGTACCTAGTACTAAATTCAATCAGTTATATGTATGTGCGCTTAGCTTGGAGATTGTGCTCGCATTTATGCTTCTCACGAATTGTCTCATCGGTGCTCGTGAGTGTCGCTGCAGTATTCTAGTAGAAGCAGTAGTAGTAGATAAATAGTCGTGTGATCAATATTATAAAGTCATTCCTTACCAGTAGTAGGGAGTGTCGTCCCAGCATACCACCCTGAGCGTCCTCCCCAGGTAGTTTGTACATTGAGCATCTTAAGTTTGTCAAACATCCCTTCAGCTCCCACTGTGCCCATTTGCTGCTTGTCACTGGCCAAATTCCTGAGCACTCGATTTATTGATGAAACCTGGAGATATAAACAACAACATGACGTCACAATCCTGCCACTCCCTTATTCCTACTGCTTCTGTTGTTTTTCTTTTGAAACTTGAAACGTGTGAATAAATATGAAACAGGCACCATGATTCTTTAAAAGTAGAAAATTATAAAACCCTCAAAGTCTAAGTTTATCGTTTTCGTTAATTTAAATAAGAAGAAATTATAGTTTTTAAGACTGTACCTGTGTGATTCAGTTGGCTTTTAGACTTTAGCTCTGTCTTGCCTTAAACAAAGCAGGTCAATTTTAAAGGCTCTTACACTGGGTATGTTGTCATTGGTGCAGACTCCCTCTGCCAGCAGTCGGTCTCTTATCTCCCAGGCAAAGATGGACGGACACTCTCTCTTGTACTGAGCAATCTTCCCCACCACCTCTGGCGTGGCCACTCTGGGTTTACTCCCTCCTATGGCCCGAGGACGGATCGAACCTGTCTCGTAATACCGGCCCAAGATCTTACTCACACAGCCGTTAGACACCTGGAGACAAAAGCAGCACATATCTTTGTTTTTAACTAATCGATGGAATGATTATAGCAATGAATACTGTATGTTTAAAGGTGTTAGGAGCATTAGCACATGTGTAAAACGAAAATGCACAAAGCTTTTTGTGGCTCCAGTGGAAGCTGAACAAAATCACATTAACTGGCTGAAGTGATGTCATTTCATGTCATGGTGGTTGTGTTGCATTTATAGTTGGATTATTATTCAGAAGGACAGCGTTAAACACAACCAGGTACTGACTAGTGCTCTATGACTGAAGCTGCTATGTTAATACTGTGCATAAAAGTTTGCAACAAACATGTTTGAAATAAACTATACTGTCTGCAGTCTCTCATCCAAATACCACCACAAGAAGAGATGGAACACCCAAAACAGCAGATATTCTTTTTAAGTGGGGCAAATTTATAACACAATTATAACTGATTAATATCATGCAGACAAACATGATATGGAGTAAAGCTGGTAGAGGTCTGGGGACCCTGGCCAGTGTCACACTCTATCAAACTGGTGTTCCAGGTTTAGTTGCATTGTGGGCAATAAAGGTGAAAATAAAGATCTCTCTGGCTCTGCTGCATCTGTTTTGTTACCGTTTGGTTTTGTTTTCTTGTGTTTAAACTGTCTAACATGAGCTTGATATTGCGATAGAAATGCAAAGCTTAATTGGAGGAGTATTCTTTTATTGGATTGGAAACAAGCAGCGGTCTCTAGTGACAAAGAAAGATGCTTAGTCAACCCAATCATCTACCTTGACCTCTTCATTACAAGGTCTAGTAGCCCTGTCAGTGTCACACAACTTTCTCCTTCACCTCTAACAGACAACATCATTTACACAGTCACCAGGGCTTTTCACTTAGATCCAAACATTGGTGAAATGTAGACATTTGAGCCGTCATTTGTCTTCAGAGCACCATGTCACTGCGCTGTGCCTTTTATATTTATATATATATAGTTCAAGTGGATGCCAGACACCAAACCTATAATCATGTCCCAGGACACAGTGCATGGTTACATTCCTCCTGTGTGTTTTTCTACATGACTTCTGACCCATATTAATGTGGTTCTGTAGCCACTTCTGTACCTGCAGTATTCTGGATATGTCACATGGTCGAGCTCCACTGTGTGCCAGCTCCACTATCTTCTGCCTGGTAGAGTCAGGTAAAGGTCTCCCATTGACAAACACACCTCCCAGTTGGTTCACGCCACTGTGACCTGCACACACACACAAACACACACACACACACAGAGACAGATAGAGAAAGGCTGTAAGTAACTCACTTGTTTTAATGTAATTACATTTCTATACATCTAAACTGCATTCTCAATTATGTTGTCAAACAAACAGATTTTCTCTCCCAAGGTAAAATGTAGCAGGAGGCGCTGACTTTTTCACAGGGCTAAAAAGTCCACATTAGGATGCTCGAGGGCTGCTGGTGGCTCATGTGTGTCACAGGGCTTTGACTCACTGGACTGAGGTTTGCGTTCTGTGGGGGGCCAGCAATTTTATATTTAGGTTTCACTTTCACTCTCTCTTTTCTTAAAATACATCCTTTCAGGACATGTTTGAAGTGTCTTCTCCATTTTCTGGGTTACCAGGAAAAGACACGTATAATATAAGACTGGCTGGCTGAAAAGTAGTGACAGCTGGAAAGAAATGCAATGAATGGCAAAGATATTTAGATTCCAAACCTATTTTCCATACACAAGCAGCAAGCCCTGATTCTGAAAAATGAGGCGAGCATGGAAGTGGAAAAAAAGTGCAGTCTCTTGAATGGCTACTTGAGACTGTCTCCAAAAGTGAGTCCTGCTAAAAAGTTCAACTTTACAGCCGAAGTAAACATGTTTATAACTTGATTTTTCTAAAAACAAAAAAAACAACAATGATTTTGGTCTCAATGGCTGATTTCCTCATGCATGACACGTGGGTTGTGTCACAAGACAGTCCAAGGCCCAAAGACATTGGCATGGCCCGCCTCAGCTTCACTCATGCCCCACCTCTTTGCTCACATTTGGATTAGCTAGGAGTTAAGAGGAGTCAGGCATTGTCAAGATGGTGGTAAAACCACCACACAACTTTAAAACAGCTCTGCAGAAAACCTGCTGGTGACATCACAGAAGATTTGTCCATCTTTATATGCAGTCAGTGAAGATACACACAAATGAATGAAAATACGGAAATACCCACAAACTTGCCTTTCCTTCAAAATGTAAGTGAGAATGCAGTTTAGTTGTATAGAATATAGTGTTGGGGAGACAAGCTATATTTTACTCCACAGTAACAAAATCCACAAGAGAGGTCTAACTACAATGAAGTACCACAGTGATCAGGCACATGCATGTGGAGGGAATCAGCAGAAAACAAAGAGGAGATGAAGGGAAAAGCACCTGTCTAAAGCCAAAACAATATGATCCTTATGTGTTTTTATAGAATGATTAAAAGGTTTGTACTTGTGTAGTGCTTTTTAAGCTTAGCTAGATTCTACGAGGCGCTTTACGATGTGTTCATTCACCCATTCACACACACAGTCACACACTCATGCTGGCAGCGCTGCCATCCTGTCATCCATCTGGGTTCAAAGTCTTATCCAAGTACACTTTGACAACTTTACAATTAGTGAACAACCTGGGCTACAGCCACCTATGTAGGTTTTCATTTTGACTGCACAGTTTGCAGATTAATTGATTAATTTGGGGATTTTTACTTTTCTGTCCTTTACTGATATGAACCAATATGATCTACATTTAACAGTATACGTTAGAAATGAGTACAATGTTAATAATGTGAAGTTATTCTAAATTGTTTAATCTTACAGTGGATAATGTATGATAAAAGCAGATCTTTGGTCTTAACTTAAAAAACACAAACAAAAACAAAAAAGAACAACTCTTGTGTGATCTTTTCTTTTTGGCATCATTACCATGATGTCACATTTCTCTCCTGCCAAGCCTGGTGTACTGGGAGTCATCTTGTCAATCAGTTTTTTCAACCATGTTTCCTGGTTGGCATTCTGCACTCACTGTTATATTCCTGACCAGTTCCACCTAGTTTCTTCTGAACCAAAGAATGGTTTGCTAATATTCAAAAGGCTTCCCCTTCATGTTCTTTGGCAAAGTTTAATCATGTAGTTTTGTGTCGTTTTGTGAATATAATGTTTTTTTTTTTTTTTTTGTATTGTGTGTAGAGGGGGTTTTATGTCACAACATTCACACACCGAGCATCACTGACACAAACAACCTATTTGCTAATCAGAGGCACATGCATTTCTATTTCTATGTGCAAGGTTGTGCCAACAGTGAACTGTGTGTGGCATCATTTTTAAAGGGTGGTCACTGCACCTTCTTTCACTTCACTTTATTCTGTGGTGGGTTGCAGCTGAGACTGGACACATCACCAGACTGTCACAGAGCTGACACAGACAGACAGACAACCATGTACAAACACTCTCACACAACAATTTATTAAACTACCAGGTCTTTGGACTGTGGGAGGAAGCAGGAGAACATGCAGAGAGAGATCCTAACCCTTGCTGTGAGACAACAGCGCGTCACACTAGACCACCATGCTGCCAGCAATAGACATAACTCAGGACAAAACTTGAAAAGAAAACATGTTCACGGGTTGTTCAACAATTTTGTTTGTTCCATTCGTTGCATTTGTTGCACTGAGGATAAACTCCAGATCATTTTCACTGCAATCTATCTAAGCTGTTTGTTTTTAGAAGATCAGGTAACTTACACTTCAATATAAAAATAAGACAATAAATGCAAGATGGTGAAATTTCACATTTTTAAAACTACATCCCAAACCCAACATAATTTTAAACTTGATGGATGTTGATTAAATTTTTTATTTATTTTTTATTTTTTAAATTTACAAACAGTTTAACTTAATTCTTCTAAATTAGTATTTGTAAGGAATTTCCAACCTCACAAAATATACACAGAACTGCCTTCTATCACTTTAGCTATAATTCTAGTGTGTTTAGATTTGAAGATTATTTGATCACATTCGCTGACAATCCTGAGAGAGGTTAAAGTGAGGAAGATCTTCAGGACGAAAGTGAATTAACCTCAGAGACAATGGCCTCAAAATCTATTAAAACATGCATTTGTCTACAAAATATTTCACAAAAAGAGGTTTAATAGGTCCTGAATAATAAAGCAACAGATATTCTAAAGGAAGACAAAAGAATATTTTGGAATCCAGCAGTGATTTCTGTAATACTGAGGTTACAAAGTTTTGCCAACCTGCAGCTTACAGAACTGCTTGACATCATTTCATGAATCAGTTGCTGGGAGAATTTTATCCATGTTTCAGCAAGTTTAAGCCACAGATGCAGTTAAGGTCATGGAGCTGGGAGGAGATTTAGACTTTTTTTAGAATTTTTCTTTAAAAAGTTGACTGCTTTAGATTCCCTATTGTTCAGTTTCTCAACATACTCAGTTGTGGACAAAGGACGGTTACATTTTTTGTTGTTGTTGTTGTGATTTTACTGATGAATGGAGCGTCCTTCTATGTGCGACTAAATGAAGCTTGCCGTGAGGATCTGTTCAGTTTAAGCACTTGAGGGAACCCCATGTATAAGTAGACACAATCATGCTGACAACCGGCACGCCTGTAAGTTTGTGTGAAGCTTAAAATGTTTTGTTTGCTGAGCATGTTGCAGCTCTGACATATTTCAGCAGCAGAGGTCCTCAGCATGTGCAGGTTAAGTAGAGATTTACACAGAATCAATTGTCTATTGTCTGTTAATGGCTCTGTGGGGGAAAGCATATTGTAGGTTTATAAACCTCTCAACGGGGCATTAATAAATCATACTAGCGGACACACACACACACACACACACACACACGCTGCATAAATTGAAGTGGGGCTGCTGTAAGGTAAAACAGGTTTCACTATGTTCCAGTCAGCCAGTGTTTCAACTACCAGACATATGAACAAAGTGTTGAGTAGTGTATGTTTCTCATCATATAGCAGGATGCATGTACAGAAATAAATATGTCATCAAAACTATTCTGTTGATGATATGATACAGACACATGCTTATGTACGACTATACAAATTTGTCATCTGACAAAATAATACAGATGTTACAACTGAAACATTATGACAACGGAAAAAAATCTTCAAAATGTCTAAAAATATCTTCCAAAAATTTAAAAATGTGGAAGAATTATTGTTGGTTTACTTTCCAGCATCATTTTCAAAAAGCAAAAGTCTTGTGTTTGGGCATGTTCATTATCCTTAATGCCCCCAGAAATGGTTTCACTCTGTAGAAACTATAATTTAAACTCATATGAAATCTCTATTTCTATGACACTTCTCATACGAACATTGACAGCATCATGTGGTCGTTCAAATACAGATACATGACCTGTGTGTGTCTTTGAAAGTGTGATGCTACGGCTTCTCAAAGGTTTTTCAACAGAACTATACATGAATGGTTAAGTTGTCAAAGTGCATTTATTTCTTTAACGCCACACGTGTTGTCAAAGTGGGGATGAGACACACAGAAGACAGATGACACAGTCTGAAGTGGATCCAGGAAAGAAGACAGAGTGACAGAGAGAAGACGGTCAAAACACACACCAGTTCATGTTAGAAAGTGTGATACAGCAGCAGTAACGGTAAAAGTCTAATCCCTGCATGTGTTTGTAATGAAGTCACTGATGAAATAATTGATAATAATGTTCACTGAATTAGATTCATATAGATGACAAAGGGTAGGAGCACACCCCACCTCACCCCACCTCACCCCCTTTGGAGTAGAACTACTCCAGTGGAAAACAGATGGATAATCTGGATCTAAGTCAGTTCACCTTCCAAATGCACCGCACACTGTTGTGGCTTTAATTTAAAACTTCAATTCTGCTTAATTAAATTACAGAAAGAAGCATGACCTGTGTGGAAGCTGCCTTTAAATGTAACTCTTCCTAATGCTGCCTCCTATCAGGTTCACTGTGTGTTTTGGGGTGATCGCTTCACCGTAGAAATGTTAATCACAGTGTCGCATCCCAGAGGAACACACCCGGTCTTTCCTCTCCTGACACACAATTAATAGACAGACATATGGAGTCAATTTGGTTCTCTCCCTCTGTGACACACATCCACACACAGACAGAGCCGGTGGGCCGCTGGGAGACCCTCAGCAGCTTTCACTTCAAATCTGCTCATTCACACTGAACCTGACTTCAATTAACTTTCACTGAAACAGCATACTGTCACTATCAACAAAGTCCTCCAAACTAAACAAACATGTTACACTTATGTCAGAAGTTATATTCGTGTCTTCCAAAGCTGTTGAGAGTAATTGTTAAAAAATGAATATTTTGTAATTTGACAATGCTACGGTTAAGGCCTGGCCCTGTCACTTCCTGTTCTCTGTTTGTATGTAAACACAGTGTAAATAAAGACACACGTTCATTCTCTGTTTTCTATTGCCACTCATATGAGTAAAGTGTCCCTGGCTGCAGCCTGCAGGACGCGACAGGACACATCTTCCAAAGTTTAATCCCACCGACTGTGATGTGACTGATTTATGTTATTGGTTTTGGCCGTGGGTGTGGCTGGGGTTAAACAACGCATGTTTATGAAATGAAAAAGACCTACTGGTATCTGTCACTTCGCTAACACTGGTGGTTTTTGTCTTCCTTTGAGTTCCAGTCATTTTTACCACTTTGTTTTCATCTAAAGACTATCATGAGATGAAACCCTGCACTTGGGTAGTTTGACATTCTTGTATCCTCAAATTTTCCCCTTCAGTGTTTGTGATTAACTGAAAGACTGAGTGTTCCTTCACTGGGGGAGTCATTTTTGTAGTTATTAATGACAGGTGCAGTAGACTTGACTACCTAACAGTATATAAAATAGTTAAAACAAACTCAACCTTAAATCTACAGCAGCAAATAGCAACATGCACATTTATGTGATATTAAAAGCATCATATCAAACACAAACAGGGAACCTTGTTCCACAGAATGAGTACTTTCATTTTTTAAACAGATATTTCTCCAACTGTCACAACATGTTATGGTGTTATGGCTAGCTGCTCCATGCCTGACACAACTCACTGAACGCACAATTCCATTGTACTGACTTATGTCCTTTCAGCATTGTAGTCACACTAACATCTAGATGAGCTTTGCTTGCTTTCCTTATCTAACGTTAACAGTTCTAAAATGTTCTGCAATTGTCTGAAGGTACGATTGACACGCTGTTGCACAAAGGCAAGAGATGGACATTATTATTATTATTATTATTATTATTATTATTATTATTATTATTATTATTATTACTACTACAAGATCTAATAACATCAGATGAATCCACTTCGTCATCGTGACATTTTGCTCAACACAAATATGAAAGTTAATCACATATATTATTTTTTTACTTCAACAAGTTCATCATTGTAAGTTAAAATTTCAAAGGACTAAATGAACTCTCAAAATCAAAAATACTCCTATGAGCAGGAAATAGTCTCTCGTGACCTAAAATGTATCAACATGCCACAACCTGAGGGAGAGTGAATGACACACACACACACACACACACACACACACACACACACAAGTGATATACTGTTGTTGAGTACTGTCCAAATATCTGAGGGAAAAAAGTATTTTAATGATTTTGCCGGATTGTTTCTTGAAACCGTTTAAATATAATTGAACTGAATTGAAATGCAGAAGCAAGGCGGCGAGGTTGTAGGTCAGATTAGGCAAAGCCTTCTGAGTGTGGTGTCAGTCTGATGTGGTGGTGTTAAAGAACTTGAACGCCTCGGCCAGCATCCCCAAAGGACAGATTAGCAAACCAAAGATCCACCAAATGTATTTATTAATTAATTTTACTTTTTCTGGAGAATTATTATTTAAGGATTTTCAGTGTCTGTCTGTGTTTGTTGATGTGACACCACATGTCCTGCTCCCTTCCCCCCCTTATTTTGGCTTTTTTATTTTTATTTTGTATGTGCAATTTTTTTGTTTGCTTGTTCAGAATCAGAATCAGAGAGTTAGATGTGGGACGAGCGCCAGTGCTGGTGGAGCACACTGCACACTGGCTGAACCCACTTTCATTCTAATCACCGACTAATGTAACCTATGCTTCATTCACTAATGACCTTAGCAAATGAATATTGGTGTTCACCCTCAGTTACTCCTCAACAACCCCCACTTGCTCCATTTTCACTATATGGAATTAAAACTGATTAAAGTGGATGTGATGATAATAGCAGCTAACATTTAACCCAATGCGACTGCCCAACAGAAAAGTGGCAAAATATTATGTCAAGCTGCATCATCCAGTTGTTAGATGGATGGGGTTGAGGCAGTGTGGTGTGGGACTGATACTGGTCAGGAGAGCGATACAAGACAAAAACAAGCAAAGACAGATAGAGAAAAGTAATTCACACACCTTCACTGCAGACAGCATGAACCTCTTGTCCCCGCAGTAAAAAAGAAACATCAAGTGAAGTTCATTGTCGGTCCCACCCAGAGATTTTATACAGCCCAGCATTTGAAGCTAGCTCATCAGAATGTACAGTGATGCTTAAAGGCCCAATCTTTAAATGTGCTGATGGCCTGCGTTTGAGAGGCATTCACATACATGAGCAAAGAGTTGGTGTTCCGAACGCTGATGGGAGATTTCAATTTTATGTGTCTCAACAGTCCAGAATTCAAAGTAAAGGTCTGTTTTACACTAATAATTAAAGGAAAATACCACTGTATAGCAACGTGGGCTCTATTCTCATAGTTTGGTCCATTATTTCATATATCATTAATGACAGAAAATAAATAAAATTCACCACAAGGCAATGAAAGGATACTTGTTAGAGGTGTGTTTGAGGCTGTTACTACTGTTGTTTACGAGCACACTAAATCAGTGTTCTTTAGGAGAGAAAGGAGAATTGTTCCAGTTTCATTTTTACATGACAGCTTTCATTAATACAGTGGCCACAGAAACTTCAGCAGAAAGAACAGCTCTGACAGTCGTCCATAACACAAACTAGCTGTTTAGTGTGCAGTCAAACACACATATCATGAGGAAATTCCGTTTTTGAAACTCTAATAATATTATTCTCACACTTACAGATAATTTTTGCCTATTTGTGAAGGTATTTCAAAAAGTTCTCTGGCTCACCTGGAAATAATGCCCTTAACTGTATGATATCTAATATTATCATTTGAAATTATATTCAATAATACGTCTTCACCTCACTGTCCACAAAAACTCAAATGTTTAAAGCAGTCATAGAGCAAAGCAGAGGAAAGCTTGGAGCCGTCTGCTGTTGCTCCAGGACAATCCATCCCTACTCATGGAGGCAGAAGCAAACCAAGTGTGGCTTTGAGCTGTTGCTTCATGAACCTCCCTGACCCAACCTGCACCATCTGACTTCTATCTGCGTCATTTTCAGAGTGTTGGGAAGTCTCCAGTGCTGTTGAGGCTCACTATGAGAGCTTTCTCTGTGACGGGGTAGAAGCTTGAACACTGCAGTGCATTGAAGTAAAAAGAGATGCTGTTGGAAAAATAAGGAACAATCTTTCTCCTGTGATGTTTTCTGGTGAGGACGAGAACTTTCTGATGTACCCTCGTTCATAGTAGATATGTGTACTATTTATTTGGAAATGCTACTGGCCACTTGGTAAACATAATTCCAGTCTTCATTCATTTTTGTTCTACGCAAGGAAACTCTGGCTCAGTGTCCATCTGATTGGTGCTGAGCAGGTATTGACAGTGGGTTTTAGAGATAAACAATGAGCTGAAGATCACTACAAAGCCTCATACGCAGATTGTCACCTTGTTTTCACATTGTTATTAGATATACTATTAGCACAAAAATCAAGAAAGCTTTCTTTATATGTTCAGAGCAGAGCAAGTTGCACGAATAGAATTTAGGTGGAGAAAATGAAGAAGAGTTTTCTGATGCTTTTCTGATTTCAGTTTTTACTCATTTAAAAATGGGTGTGAATATTTTTGGCTTCTGAAGGGGAGCATGCCGGAAAAGACTTGGAAATTCCTGAGCCAGACATATAGTAACATTAGAAATGATAAGCAAACACTTTTGGAATGTAACTCACTGTTTTGCATCATGGAGGCCACGCCAGTCTCCCAGCTTGTCTGACTTCTATAATCTGTCGAAACAGAGAAATCAGATCAATACAGAGAAATCAAATGAAGAAGCAATACACCACACAGACTCATTCCTGGACACTGAATGTGAGTAAAGGAAGAGAAAATATCCTTCTTGAGCTGCACAGGTCAGTTTTTGAGAGGGGAAGGAAAATGTAAATAGATCTCTGATTCTTTTTTTTTTAATATATATACATGTATGGAGGGAATAATAAGAGTAAGAAAAAAGGTTTGAGCTGAAAACAATCCTACACATACTGTGGACAGAGAGGCTCAATGCCAGGCCCTCCTTTGATTGGTTCATATGCTAATGTATGTTAATGTACATAAAGTTATGAGAACAAATGTGGAATCCAGCACCAGTGTGAGTGGACACAATCTGAAAAGAGGGAGGCCTCTTCTCCACACCTCACAGGGTTTGTTTTTGGAATTTATACTTGGCCATGATGTTAAAATGTGATTTAGACACTACATTGAATCCCATTTCTGTTTTTCATTTTATTACTGAATTTGCCAGTTTGAACATTTATTATATTTTTTTTCTTGAATACACTTTGGACACTGAGTCCCGTTAACCTGACACTGGCAGCTTCTTCAGGAGAAATGCACCCATCTCCTTTGTCTTTATATAAAATACACGATGTTTCTGCTTTAACTAGGAATATTTACGGCATTAATAGGAGCAGTGGGGTAAAAGTAATGAGTGAGAAATAGTTTATCTGCTGCCACATTAAAACCTAAAGAACACAGCAAAACTCAACTGGCATTGTTAAATGCATCATATTCAGCTACAGGCCGGTTCTATCACAGATACATGGAGCCACGGAGGAAGATCATGACCCAATAATGTGTTCTGACAATTATCTTTATTCCTACAAAGAGGAAAAAATCTGAAGCAATCCTGTCAATTTTTATGGCCAAAATGATGGAGACCCAATGGTAATAAAAACTGAATAAACAAACTAAAAAGCCTCCGGGAAGAAAATAGCTCAAATAATAAAACCCTTAAATGGTCGAGCAAATGTTCTTTCATTCTGCTTCTTTTCACATTAACACAGTTCCTGAAGTTATTCTTTGTGATCAGAGAACATCCAGTCACAACTTGTTCGGTGCGTCGGTCCTGATAAACGCTCATCTGACCGGAGAGCGACGGTCCGCGCCGAGCCGCCAGAAAACGGCCACAAACATCAGATCAATGGACATTTTTAAATAAAAAATAATAATACAATTACTAGTGAAATAAGGCGGATTAACTGATAAATTAAAGCATAAAGATAAAGATGAAAGAACTGCTTTACGATAATGAGCAACAACAAAGGTTTTTGATAGATTGGCTGTTCGGTGGAAATTTTCCTTATTTTGTCATTTTGTCAGCATTTGTACACGTTATTATTTATTAAATATTGTCTGATTTATTTAATTCGTAGAGTTTGATTTTCCATACAAAATGAGCACGTGTCGGATTTAAATCACAGGATTGTTTGTAAAATGCACTTTGTCACATTTAGTCACGATGATGTGAACTTCTCCATTTTTTTTTTGCAGCTTCTTCACGTGGTTTTAACTGAGGTGAGACCTGCGGGGCTGCGGTTCGGCTCCGGCCCGGCGTCCTGCTCCACGGCGGCGGAGGACGAGCGGCGCTCAGCAGCCTGTTGGGACGAATGAGCTGCTGCGTAAAAGCGCACGGCATTCACTCATTCATCCCGCTGCTCCAAACCAAATCCTTTTTCGGACAACTTGTGAAAAAAACGAACCAAGAAAGGCTTCAAAGCAGCTCTTTCTCTGAGCCATTAACAACCTGCATAATGAACATGAAGCGGCTCCGCCACACAGGCCGGCCGCCGCACCTTGCTCCCCGGAGCCCGGCGCTGCTCGCCCTGTGAAAGCACACAAAGAGCCGGAGGAGCGGAGCCGCGGCTCGGCTCCAAATACCCGCCGGCCTTTGTGTGTCGGAGCCTCGTTAGCTGTGGCTCGTTAAAAAACCTGCGACACAAAACCGCGGCGGGGAGCCCAATTTGACCAGTACAAGTGACATAAAAGAGTTCTGTTGAACACACTGATGACAATATAAAAGTTTCATTCAGCCGCATTCAGTGTGATGATATGAGAAAGAAAGAGCCGAGAGACAGACAGACAGAAAGACAGAGAGACAGAAAGACAGACAGACAGAGAGAGAGACAGGGAGCTGCAGCCGAACCCACGGAGCTCCAGTAAATCTCAGCCTTCACATGACTGTCAACAACAAGTAGTCACAGTAATTGAGGACACTGTTGCTGCTGCTGACTGTGATGTGATTAAATACGTTCTATTTATTACACAGACGTAGGTATCGATTTTCATAAACACACATAAATCAGTGAAGGCTCGTGGAAGTCCGGATGGTTTTGTGATGTTTGCCTCTTTACAACTTTGGCTGCAACTAAAACTCAGGCCGAAGCCGTGAGCTCCAAAACACGGGACAAATCCTGTGACACAAGTGGAGGAATGAGCTGGATGTGACCGAGTGGAGCTCCTGGGAGCGTCAAGTCCAGATGAAGCGCTGGTTTTTCTGATGTTTTACGCAAAGTGTGCAGTGACGAGGTGCCAACACACTGACGCATCACATGTAGTGTAGTTCTGTGTTTGGTGGAGTCACACTGACTGGTCGGTCAGTGTTGCGGGAAAAGGGCCAAAAAAAAAAAAAAAAGCAAAAAACAAAAACAAAAAAAACCCAAAGACCAAAAACAAACAAACAAAAACATTAAAAAAATTCAGTGCAGCTTCTGAAGGCATTTAAAAATAAAAACAATTTCAAATGAGCAATTAATATGATGTAGTAATAGTGAAATAATAATAAAAATATAATAATATAATAAAATGCTCAAATCAGCAGATGAAATAAAACCTAAGGCCTCCGTCCGAGCTGCGTCTGGACTCACATCCCGATAACACACACACACACACACACTCACACACACACTGAAATGGTCCAAATTCACATCTTGTAGTCTGATGAATTGTCCGTTTAATTGGCTTCGATTTAATTAAGACGTCCATTAACAGCCACTTAATTAGATCATTAATTTGGACCAACTTTGTCGCCTTGTATGTGCTGAATCTGATCTGACGGAGACACTTGGATCCGCGCAATATTTGATATGATGACGGATGTTTAAATGTGAGTCCAACACTGAGGTGTGTTTGCACCGAGCTGTCCTCACATCTCGCAGCCCTTCGAGCTCTCACTTATCGGGTGTGAATCCCAGCTGATGCTGGACCCTCAGGGCCTCCACTCATCACACCGAGCATTTAGAGATGCGAATAAAATGATGACAGCAAATATCTGAATTATGGCCGCATGCTGTCACGTTTCCTGACATTTAAAGAAAGCCCGCGTCCTGGGCTGCGCGTATTATGAAGTGACACTAATGGAAATGTGAGCTGTTCTACACACTACAGATGACGGCTGATCCCTTAATGAAGAAAAGGTTCAGGAGCGGATCCTGGCTCCGTTTTTCCTCCATGTGAAGCTGCTTTCAGTCCACAGGCTGATCATCAGGCCACAAACACTTTTTGTTCACTCATGTTCTGTCACTTTCAGAGCTTTTTGAGGCTCAGCTCCTCACAGCGACATGAAGAGAGGAATAAAGGAGCACTGACGGCGTGATGGCGCATTATTTGTTCAATGTAGTCATAAACTACACCAGTCCTCAGCTTAAAGAAAATCTCAAACATTTCTACAATTTTACTGACAGATTGTTCAACATTTCTGCCATTTTTGGACTCAGACCACCATGAAGCAGGTGTCCGGTCCCGTTGGTCAGCTGGATGGTTTCAGTCTACACTTACTTTTATTTAGGTTCAAAAAGAACCTGTGTGTTTATCCGTGAGATTCTGTTTCATTCCACCTGCTTGGTGTCCAACATCAGAACCGACCCAGCTGCTTTTAGCGGTTCGGTTATTTAAAAGCCCAAAAGTGGCTGCAGTCAGTCCACTATGACAGAACTGGTATTAAAAGACTTAACTTTATTTTTTATTTCATACGGAATGTAATTTAAAGATTATAGTCCACAAAATAATTGTAAAAGAGACCGATAAGAACTTCATGTGTGTGACACCGGCCGCTCAGCACCTCTCAGGCCTTTTACGCAGTAAAGTGCAAATATTTCTTCGGTTATAATTATTTAAGAAACGCTGAAGTTCCTCAGACTCAGGTCCTGCTGCTGCTTCTGTCTGCGGTTCGACTGACGGCCTCTGCAGACGTTGAACCGGCTCCTGAAGCCGGCGGTGGATCCTCCACAGTGTCCCGTCCTCCTCCAGCTTCCTCTGGAGCTTCTCCAGGCAGTCCTGAGTGTTGCTCAGTGCTTCGGAGGGTTTCAGTCCCAGAACCGAGCCGAGCCGAGCCGAGCCGCAGCTAACACTCCGGTGATGCTCCCTGCACCATCTCCTACATTTTGGTTTCTGAGATTGTATATAAAAGAAAACTATATATTTGTGTTGCTGGTTCTGAAGCTGACCTCAGCCGGACTTCTGAAAGGAACGCGTCTATTGATTTAATATTTTGATAGAAAATTCCCGATTTGTGCTGAATTGGTCAATAATAGGAACATGTAGTGATGAACCAGGTACATCTCCGGTGTTTAGCTTCAGAACAAGCCCAAACTTTGTCTTCATGGAGCATCCAGAACTCTCTGGTGTTCTGCTGCTCTTCAGACGCGTCTTCTCTTCATTCTTTCCTCCTCAACTTTTTACTCCTCTGTCTAAAAGTTGAGAATTGAATCAGCTGCTGTGTCTAATTTTCAGTCGCTGAACAATTCCTCTTCTCGATTTATTTTCTATTTTTATTATCTATTTTTTTGTAGTCACAGCTTTTCTAAACCACGTTTCACATTTTCAAGTGTTCTTCATCTTGACCTTATCTGTGAAGCAAACGGTAACTTTTCAACTCCATGCAAATGGAGAGAGAGAGGGAGAGAGAGAGA